AGTTCAGATATGGGCGTCAATGTGCCAGTGACGGAAGAGTAGAACTGCACGTCTGAGTCACTCGCTGCAGGCTTGGGAAGAGACTCGAGGGACTTGCGATAAACGTTGGCAATCTGCTGCATGTGAGGAGAGTGGTACGCGACAGGAACCTTGAGACGGCGGAAGAAGACGCCTGTGTCTTGCAGTAGAGACTCAAGCTCATCGAGAGCGGGAACATCTCCAGAGAGGGTGACATTGTAAGGCGCATTGTAGCAAGCAATCACCAGATTTCCTCTAGTCAACTTGTCAAGATATCCTTGAGCTTCATAGGGCGATAGTCCAGCAGCAGCCATGCTCCCATTGACACTAGAGTCCGCTGCCAATTTCGATGATGCGACACCACGGTAGTACGCCGCAATCACGGCAGCTTCATGCGACAGAGCACCGGCAGCATACGCAGCTGCGATCTCACCACTGGAGTGTCCCGTAACAGCAGTAGGTTGAACGTCCCACGAGCGAAGCAAGTCCACCAGCGCAATCTGCACAACCGTGCAAAGAGGTTGGCTGTACAGAGGCTCATTGACAAGGCTTGTCTCAGCATCCTTGGAGAGTTCTTCAACAAGATCCCAAGTACATCCAATGTTCTTGAGAGTAGCTCCAGCGCGATTCAGACTATCGGCGAAAACGCCATATTGATGCATGAGTCCAACACCCATTTGCGCAGTCTGTGCACCTTGACCCGTGAAGACGAGACCAAGACGCGAGACCCTCTGCGACTTAACGAGACTGAGCTTTCCGTTCTCAAAGGTGTCAATGAGTTCATCTACAGAACTTGCTGAGATAGCCATTCGGTAGGACAATTGAGAGCGACGCTGGGAAAGAGTGTAGGCGAGTTGTTGAAGAAGGCGAGCGTGTTTCTCGGCTGGGATGTCGCGGAGGTAAGATGCCATGCGAGCGAAGAGCGAGGATGCTGCTTCTTGATGACCTGCTGAAACTACAAAAACTCTTCGATCGATGTCTGTGTCGATAGTCTTCATCTCGTGCTGCGTTGTGTCGTAGCCGTCAAGAACGACGTGGGCATTCGTACCGCCATAGCCGAAGCTGTTGACTGAAGCACGGCGAGGGACGTCCGCGGGCCATTGTGTAAGCTCCGTGGGAACCTATCCAAGTCAGTAAAATGATCCGCCGCGGCACCCGTCGTACATACCTTTATGTTCCATGCCTCGAGGTCAAGTCGTTCATTCGGCTTCTCAAAGTTCATATTCGGCGGAATCTGTCCTTTCTCAAGACACAGCACCGCCTTGACGACACCAGCAAGTCCACTCGCACCCTCCAAATGCCCAATATTCGTCTTGATTGACCCAAGATACAAAGGCGAAGAGCGCTGGCGATCAGCGGTAAACACGCGATGAATAGCACCAGCTTCCATGGGATCTCCAGCCTGGGTGCCTGTACCGTGCGCTTCAAAGTATCCCGTCTCAGCAGGATCAAGACCAGCGTTGGCATAAACCTCACGAATAAGCTCAGCCTGCGCATCACCATTCGGAAGCGTAATGCCCGCCGTTCTCCCATCAGAATTAACGCCCGTTCCTCGAATAACAGCGCGAATAGGATCACCATCCCTCACAGCCTTATCCAACGGTTTGAGAACGAGCGTCGCGATACCTTCACCCCTCGCATAACCCTTCGCCCTATGATCAAAAGCATAAGACCTTCCATCCGGGGATAAAAAGCCTAGTAAACTCATAGCAACCATGATATCAGGGCTGAAGATGAGGTTTGTTCCGCCAACTATGGCCTGTTCGGCTTCACCCATTCGTAGGCCTTGGACAGCGAGGTGTAGACCCACGAGGGAGGAGGAACAGGCTGTGTCGACGGTCACGCTGGGGCCTTTGAGGTTGAAGAAGTAGGAGATTCGGTTTGAGAGGATGGATTGGCCGTTGCCGGTTGCTTGGTAGAGAGGGCCAGTCTCGGGGTCACGACACATTATGTCGGCGTAGTCTTTGTTGAAGACGCCAATGTGGACGGATGTTTTTGTGCCCGAGGCTTGGTCGATTGAGATGCCGGCTGATGATGTTAGTTATGTTAGCGGCCTGAGAGAGGGACTGACCGTTCTCGAGAGCCTCATAGGCTGACTCTAACTGCAGTCTTTGTTGAGGGTCCATGGCCTGTTATCGTCAGTGCTGTAAAGCCAGCGTATCTGGTGGTGGTCGTACCTTGGCTTCATTGCGGCTGATGCCAAAGAAGGGCGCATCAAAGCACGCAATATCTTCATCCAAGAAATGTCCACCAACAACATTCATCTAACACGTATCAGGCCACATAACTCCCAATCAACTCAATTAACTCACAGCGCCATTTCGGTCTGGGTCAGGATGATAAAAGGCATCCAGAGCGAATCTATCCTCGGGCACCTTTGACCAGGCACTTTTGCCCTGGGAGATCATTCTCCAAAGAGCTTCAGGTGTATCAGCACCACCTGGAAATCTCGTGCTGATACCAGTGATGGCGATTGGCATGTTCGGGTCAATTTTGGACTTGTGGGCGCCGTTGGCCTCCCCGTTTGTGCCATTATGACCCTTGGTATGGCTGTTGGTGCCGTTTCCGTTCATGTTGAATAAGGACAAGTTGATAAAATGATGAATAATCTAACGAAAGGCGCTTGGATCTATCTAATTTGAAACAACGTTGGGCTTTTGGTCCTTCTATATCGACGTCTATCCTGACTTACACCATTTTCTGGTTGGGTGAAGTCCACGCTTATCGACATATTGGCTATTCTGATTGGCTGGCCACTTCCGACGCATCAATCGTTCGATCCAACAGTCTCAAAAGCTCAATAGAGAAAGTCGTTGGTCCGAAGGATTCTCGGCAGGGATTCTCGGGTAATTTAATGGAGCTGATCTCCCGCTCGGCGAGTTTCTCTTGTTTTCTATTTCCCCCGCTCTACATCTCCATCTCGCCGATATCAGCTCAGGCTGCCTTTTTTGCATCGCCTTACGAATGCGCTGTTGAATCAACTGTACTCTCTACGGGCGCCTCTTGGTTCTGTGGCCTCTATCGCAATCATGACTCCTCCGAACCCACCTCGTAAGGTTTTGATGGTCGTTACTGTGGGCGGCTACACTCACGCTGGTAAGACTCCATCACCGGGCTTTGGCCTCCCATCGCTAACGCTTCTGTCCGTAGCCCCAGTTCTGGAACTGGGAAAGGTTCTTGCCCAGCGAGGCCACGTTGTTGACTTTGCAACTCTTGAAGGTCAAGAGTCATGGACAAAAGGCTACGAGTACATCAGCCAGCTTCACCTCATGGGCCCCGGCCCTTCACATGAAGAACTCGAAGCTCATTATCTCCGCATGCGAGAATGGGACGCCTCAAAGGGCTTCGCTGGTGTCATGGACTCCAAGTATCTGTTTGACTCGTACTGGACACAAACTTATCAGCATCTGAAGCGCATTGTCGATGATCCTGCTACAAAACCTGACATGATAGTCGCTGACTTTTTCGTCGACGCCGTCAAGGATATCCTGTACCAGTATCACATCCCCATGACCATGGTGTATCCTCAGATGCCGGCTTTGATGTGTCCTTGCTCTTACATCCCCGGTCAGCCAGGGTTTCAGATTGAAGGGACATTGACTTCTGAGAATGCTTCGATGTGGCTGCGTTTCAGGAATGAGCTTGTTATTTACAAAGCGTTGCCTTCAATCATCAAATGGGTCAAGTGGACCAAGAAAATGAGACAAGATGCTGGGGTGAACTACAAGCTACCAACTCCACGCAAACCTAATTACCTGGTCTTGATCAACTCATTCTTTGGGCTTGAGGTGCCAAAGGATATTCCGCCGCTGGTCCAAGCAGTTGGTCCTATTCTTGCCGATGCTTATCCTCCCCTCTCAGAGCCGTATGAGTCTTTCTTGGAGAATCATAAGAAGACCTTATACTTGGCTCTTGGTACCCATATCATCCTGTCTAACGACCATGCCGCTAAACTCGTCCAAGGACTAGTCGCTGCAATGGACCAAGGTCTCATTGATGGAGTTATTTGGTCCATCTCTGAGGCTGCACGTCGAGATGTTGATGCCAGTCTTCACTTCACTGACAAAGGTGGCAAAGCTTTTACCTTTGCATCCTTGTTCAAGGGTGAACACCCATCCTTTCTCATCACAACCTTTGCACCACAGCGTGCCATTTTAGACCATGATCACACAGCTATCTACCTAACCCACGGTGGTGGCTCCAGTGCCAACGAGGGCCTTTACCACGGGAAGCCGATGCTGGCCATTGGCTTCTTCTTTGATCAGATTTCTAACGTACCCCGCCTTGTCGCAAGTGGAACCTCTGAAGCCCTTGACAAATTCCGCTTCACTCCAGAAGAAGTCTGCCAAAAGATCAAGTTGCTATCCGAGGACAAGGATGGATCATATCAACGTAATTGCATACGTATGCAGCGCATCGCCAGAGCCGCATCACGCCGTAAGGAACTAGGTGCAGATCTCATCGAAGAGGTCATGTACGATACTGAAGGATGCTTTGATGGCAAGAAGGAACTGCGACCGATGCATTTGCAGACAGCTGATATGCGGATGTCACAGTTCAAGGCTAAGAACTGGGATCTATGGCTTGTTGGGTTATTTACTCTCGGGCTTGTGCCTTTGGCTTCTATTACCGTTGGGAAGTGGGCTTGGACAGAGAAGAGGGCTATTGGTGACTGGGCGGGGGAAACTGTGAAGAAGTGGATGGGCTGATTACAAATAGTATATCGAGAAGTATTGGGTTCTAATACCTGAATATTTAAACTAAATGAATGAATGGTGTCCCATGATCTCCTCATCATCGCAGTAGACCATTATGCTAAATGCCATCAAGTACTAGACGTTCTGGTCGAGTGATACTCTATAGCTCGCCTGGGAACCGAGGCATCTCGAGGAAACGCTCGACCATGACGTTGAACGTCTCTGGGTCTTGCATGAAACTGTGAGAAGTTAATTGATGTCGCATAGATACCTTGATGCAGTGACTTACGCAAAGTGGCTGACTCCGGGTAGGATAACGAGGTCAGAACCCCAGATCTGATACACACGTCAGCAAGTAAAAGAAGACTCTGTAAGGGCTGACTTACCCAGCTATGAATCTCGCCAGGAGTAGAGCGAGTGACAGCCTCCTCAGAGTCTCCATCAACAATCCACATGATGGGAGCATTAGGATCAGAGTATGGCGTAGGAATCTTGGCAAAGGATTTTGCATCCCAGTCTGGCAGACTCCCCCACATCGTGTTCATTCTCTCCTCGAAGTCATGGAACGAACCCTTTGATGGCGAGTTCTTCTTATACTCCTCCTGAACTCTCTCCATATACTCCAAGAACACAGGACTCTCTGCAGCAGTAGTGTTGATGTTCTCGGGGCTGTAAGTACCGCCGAACGCAAAGGAGCGGTCGAGGCGAGAGGTGAAGTTCATGGCGAGGTCGAAAGAAATGCATGCGCCGTCAGACCAACCGACAGTTGAGAACTTATCAATTCCAAGGTGATTCATTAAGCCAATGACGTCCTCGGTCATGAGATCATAGGTTAAGGGGCGGCTAATATCATCTGACGAACGACCCTGAGCTCGAGAATCGATTGTGATCAAAGTGTATTGGTGATCCTTGAAGTGGTTGATCTGGTTGGCCCAGTAATCACTGTTGGCAAAGCCACCATGGAGGAAAACAACAGGGTTAAGGCCTTTAGCCTTAGTCTCTTCGAGCGGCGCGCCGAATGTCGCGTACCATAGATCAATGCCGTCAATCGGTGCTGTGCCCTCGAAGTTGGCCTTGGGCATAGGTGGAAGCTCGGGAAGAGTCTGCCAAGGCGCAGTATACTCGCAAGAATTTCCAGCCTTGGCGTCAACTTTAATGCTTAGACCTGAGACCATGTTGGCGAGCATCAGTGCTGAAGCTCCGAGATGTGACCAAGACTGCATGGTGAAGGTCTGCGTGACTGGTCCTGGGACTGAAAATATGACATGGTGATGAGGTTGAGATGTATTACATAAATTCTAGGTGCTATGTGGAGCTATTTGTCTTTTTTTAACATCCTAGAAAGTCAAAAGTGCATGATTCAGTCCCGTAGTCCTTTTGACCGCTCGCTTCGCGATTAGACTTTTGGAAGCAGGGGTACCTTCATAGTGGTTGTCTAAGGATATTTTAGCTGACAGCCTCAACAAATGCGTATTAGCGTTACATGGCAGTGTTGTACTGAAGGTCGGCATTACATGCCGCTGCAAATGAGATTTGATATCAGGACGTGTTATGACAGTACTTGTCTATGAACCATGTTGCCACGTCGTTGAGGTGACGAGCGACCCTGAGACCCTGATCGGGTCGGTGAATTGACCTATCAGGGATTGATATTCTGGCCTGGCAATCCCTGTAAGGGTGTTGAAGGTGGGGGAATTGAGTTCGGAAAACAAAGAATGACGCTAGGAGATTTATGCGAACTCGGAAAAATACGGAGAATTATAGATAGCTCCAGGTTATGGAATTCTAAAAGTGATGGTAATGAGCTGCTACGGATTAACTTTGGCATTAACAGTATAATTCAAATACTGATTCTTGTAGTAACAAGAGAAGTTACTATCTACTGTACCCATTAATACTTAATTGGACATAAATATCATGAAACTTGGCGTAGTCAAGCTGCACAATAACCCACAAACTTACGAATAAAGTCAGACCTTGTCATCAGTGCGCTTCCAGATTTTATTTAACATATCCATTGGGCGATCCACGGTTCCTTTGACGCTGCTCACTAAACAGTCTTTGTGCTAAAGGAACTATAAGCTTCTGTAGCAGCAACAATTCACAGCCCGGTGACCCCATGATGTCATGTTTCCGTTGATCCGAGAGCTTTTACATCAATTATTGATCAGTACCCTGAGAGGCAAGGTCACACGGCATGTAATCGTACTTATAACCAACCCGAGAAATTTATCAACAAGCAAAATCTGCCTTCGCGCTCAAATTCTTAAACATCTGCGCCACAACCCCGGTCGTCTGAGGATTGACCGGCAACGAATGCCCCTGCCCATGGTCATAAATCTTGGCAGAGTGAGCATCACAAAGCGCAAACAACCCCAGGCTCTCTTTATACCATTGATCCTTCTTGCCCACCACATGCACCGTAGGTATCTGAACAACAGGCTTGCCGCACTGATCTATACGATTCATGCCATCGTACGTAAAGGGCTTAGAGCCGCAGATAAACATTGCAAACTTAAATAAGTTGGTCTGGGGCTCGAGTGGGTTCTTTTTGGAGTAGTGTGCGAGCACGGATGCTGTTATGGCTGCGCCTTGGGAGAAGCAGACTACACCGTCGAAGGGGCCTTCTTCTGCTATTATGTCGAGGACGTTGTCGATCGCGTTGGTGGCGGTTTGGGCCGGTGGGATCTTCTGTAAATGGTCCCATAAGTACCATTGGTAAAAAGGTCCCTCGGATAATGCTTCGATGCCTATATTGTATGTGATTAGGGTAGGACTGGCGCAATTGGGGCAAGATCTTACCTTGAGCAGGAGGGCATTCTACTTCTGCATCGTAAAACTCGAACGAAAGTGTTGGATCATCTTGGAGGAGATGGTGAATTACAGGACCTGTTAGAGTTAGCTCAGGATGTGCAGTGCGAGGATTGACTTCATACCAAGCTGGATTTTAAAGATCTACCCATCTTGGTTAGCTATCATCGTCGGTGCGTTATCTAGGAACTCCTTACCTCGGAGTTGGTGCCAGCACCATGGAGACAAAGGATACGCATATTGAATGAATATTGATATAAAATATATGCCCAAAAGCCATTGAGAACGAGGTGGGTATTGTTGAGACTTTACTCTTAGGTATTTATTCAATCTGCCTAGTATAAAACTCGGCTCGGCGAGTATTAAAGTGGGATATGAAACCCGCCGAGACCAACCAATATCACCACCTATGCTGGCTAGCACTCGTCTCTAACTGCTAACAGTGCCTGAGCCAGGTGCTAGCCTGAAAACACCTTTCTTGGTGTACTGTCTCATCAAGATGATGCCAGCAGCCAGCGCAGACGGTATAGATAAGCTGGCCATGACAAAGAATTGCTCGTTGTAGATATCCCCATAGGCCGATTTATTGTTTGCGATCCTGGATGCCTTGTCAAGTTCTTTGTTGAGAATTGCGCCGCAGACTGCAATTGAGACGCAGCCGCCCAAAGTTCTGAACATATTCACGAGGCCCATGGCGGTCGCTGAGATGCGGGTTAACGAAGGTAGCCACTTTGATGGTGTTTACTTACCGTATTGTTCCTCAGATACCCAATCTCGCGCGAGAATCATGAAAGATGGAAGCATGAGTCCAAAGCCAATGCCTGTCATGACTTCAAACCCATATTGACTGTTCGAAACAGATGACCCAGTTGGTAGAGTAGACATCAGCCCGACACCAATAACTTGAAGGACACCACCGCAAAAAAGAAGCAGAGGTGTCGCTGCAGGAAACTTGCGATAAAGACCTCCAGATAGCGCAGAGAAGCCCGCTGATGGGAGAAGCACTGGCAGGAGAAGAACGCCTGCTGTTGTTGGGGACTTGCCATTGACGTGTTGTAGACGCTGGGGTAGTTGGATAATGGTAGAGTAGAACGAGCTACCCATGAAGAAAGCAGATCTAAAATTCCCAAGTCAATAGAAGACTGAGATACGGGATTGTTCGTACCCACATCATGAGAAGCGCAATGTCCGGCTGCAGAAGCAACGGAAGAGGGAAGAATGGAGCAATCGATGAGTATCGGGGGAGCACCAATTCATACCCAATGAACATGATCAGCGACACTCCAGAACCGACTAAACAGCCAATAATGGCCGGGCTCGACCAGCCGTTTCCATCACCAACCGTCGAGGCACTCTGTAGAGCGTAGATCAGAAAAATCGTGGCAGCCAAGAAGAGGAACGCGCCGGGTGCGTCAATTTCCCTCCATCCATTCCTCACAGACTTGGAATCATTCTTCCATCTGAGTGACGGGAGCAGCAAAAAGGCACATACTGCTGCACCGGGTAAGCTGAGGCATAATCAGTCCTGGAAGTATCGCGGCCGTGAATTCTCACATACTTGAGTAAAAACACCCATCTCCACGTCGAATGCTGGGCCAAAACGCCGCCCAACACCGGGCCCAAAACACTCGAGAAGGCGAACACTGAGCTCACAACGCCAGAGTACAAACCCAGCCAGCGATCGGGAGTAACGTCAGGGACAATCACCATTGTTAGTGAGAAAAGGCCAGAGGCGCCGAGGCCCTGGAAAGCGCGGAAGACAATTCTCTCGATAATTAGTCACAGCAAGTGACTGGGTTGAGAATAGCCGCTTACAATTGTGTCATGGATTGTGCTGCTCCGCAAACGCCAGAGAATAGAGCGAAGATGGCGAGGCAGGCGTAGAAGACGGTGAAGCGGCCAAAGACATCGCTCAATCGCGCATGTAGAAGCAAGAAGCCTGATCGGTGGTTGGTAAACGGCATCAAGGTAAGTTGAGAGCTTTACCGTTAAAGGTGACCATGTAAGCAGTGACTATCCACGAGTACTCGCGCTCATCGTCAAAATGCTTTGCGATGGTGTCAAGCGTTGTCGATACGATCGTCGTTTCCAGCGCAGACAGGAAGAGACCAAACGTCAATCTGTAGCAGTTAGCATCACTCCTGGAATTGTTTCCGCGCGTTCCACACCCAATAACCGAAAGATGAAGCCTATAACCTTCCATGGTTCTGCTAGCTGCGCGAATCTGCGCGCTCGACTCTTCTTCCGCCATTGTTGAGCTTCTGTACTGGTCGCATTGTTGTGTCGCAGGATTTAGGCCTGGAGGAGTGATTTAGTGGTGCGATTCGGGTGATATATCACCTGAGGTGTTGGCTCGGGGCATTTCCGCCATTCTCGGCGAGTTTTGCGAGTTAACGATACAGCGTATAAAGAAGACAACGTAATATTAACATATTTTACACTGAATTTGAATCGTTCAATCGTGTCATGATGCTGAACCTGCTGTATTCTTACACCACGTTAGCGCTGTTCGCTGTAAGCCTAGAGCTGCTGCGACGGGTACTAAAGGCGCTAATCTTTGGATTTACTGGTCCCCTGTCCAGAGTTCCAGGGCCGTTCTGGAACAAACTCTCACCACTGCCATGGCGTTTGGCGTTCTTGAAGGGCACTGCACCTTTTCTCGCACAGGACCTTCATCATCAATACGGCGATGTCGTGCGAGTCAGTAAGTCTCCCAACATAGATAGCCCATGCAAGTTTACTCAATCTTACAGCCCCGAATCTGGTCTTGGTGTCTGACCCAGTATCGGTCCATCGCGTTCTCGTGGAATGGGATCTGCATAAGAGTCCTCTCTATGAGAAATATCGACAGAACCCGCACGTCGCGACGTTGTTTACGGAGAGAGACAAGGCCAAATATCGCATTAGAGTGAGAAACCGGTACGAAATAGCATATAGGTCCTAACATTGTTCCAGCGAAGACTGCTCTCGAATGGCTTCTCAATGAGCTACCTCAAAGCACTGGAGCCGCTGATGCACGGCTGTGTTCAGGTTCTGGAGGATGTACTGGAAGAGCGCTGCGCTGCTGGCGGCGGGACAGCGACTGTCAACATCTATGATCTGCTCAGCAGTCTTGCTTCAGTGAGTACACTCAATTCTTACACACGTTTGGAGATAATTGACAGATCCAGGACATCATGGCTGAATGCTCTTTTGGAGGCTCCTTTGGCCTTGTTCGCCAGGGCCACCATCCGCTAAAGACGAGGATCACCAACTACATGAAGAAAGCAGCCCTGTACCAAACTGTGCCTCTATTGAGTCTCTTTGGTAAGCCTCGAGATGAACAGCTCGATGCAATTGTCCAAGGCATCATCGACAAGCGGCTGCACAGCCAGAAGGAGAGCGAGCGGAGAGACCTTCTTGACATGCTTCTCGAGGCTTCAGCTGAAAATCCTGATAAGTTGAGTATGGAGGACATCGAAGCTGAGATGTTTGTGTTCCTGTAAGTCCTCATTTTCCTTGCGAGGGCATCAATTGCTGATAACATGGAGACTGGCTGGGAGCGACACATCTGCCGTGACGGCAACTTTCTGCCTGATGAAACTTCTAGAGAACCCAGCTGCTCATCAGGCACTGAAGACAGAGCTGGATGAGCTTCTCGCATCATCGAGCGATCCGATTGTCGACGAGAACACTCATAACTTGCCATATCTGAATGCAGTCATCCACGAGACACTTCGCATGCTACCCCCCGCAGCTGGCGGTAAGTTGTTCATTTATTCCTTCTCAGGCATGGTGCTAACTAGTGTCAATTAAAAGGCTTTGCGCGACAGGCTTTGGAGCCCGTGACGGTTGGAGATTATGTTCTTCCGGCTGGTGTAAGTCACTGGCGTTGTGCCTGCAAAAACGCGACTAACAAAATTAGACATTGGTTACAGCAGACACAACAGCTCTCCACCGTGATTCTCGCGTCTATCCCGACGCTGACAAGTTCATTCCTGAGAGATGGATCTCTGGGCATGCAGGCGAAAAGGCTGCCGAAAAGAATTGGTATCCGTTCTCAGCAGGCTCACGAGTGTGTATTGGCAAGCAGTAAGGTCCCGTTCAGTCTTTTCGACGATAGGTGCTAATTTTGGCAGCTTCGCGTTGAAGGAAGTCCGGCTCATCCTGGCTGTTCTGCTGCGACGATTTGACCTCACGATCGTACCAGATCAGAAAATTCAGTACCGGCATCATAGTGTACTGTACATTGCCTCGGGGGAATATTTGGTTGGTGTTCGTAAACGGGTGGCGTGATGGCTCTGAAATGTGCTGGAAATCCTCCGAGGGCGATCTGCGATGCCGGAATAACTCTCAGTGCATGATCAAAACGTATATATGTTAGGATGATTGAAGAGAAAATAAATTGAAATCTTCGTGATTAACTATAATACTAGAAAGAATTGTTAATTACTCGAAATGGCCGACCAACCTAAGCCTATCCGTGTTGCCGTCATTGGGGGTGGAATCGCTGGTCTTCTCCTCGGCCAGTTACTCTCCTCGGCTCCCGGTATAGATGCACACGTTTTTGAACGCTACCAAAACGAGTACAGCCTCTCGGGATACCGCATCCAGCTAAGTCTTGAGATCCTCAACCTTCTGAAGACCCATCTACCGCCCGAGACATGGGCCAAGGTCCTTCCGAGCGTGGCCAAGACACCAAAAGAGGGCTACTACCACTCGTGCTTCATGCGGCCAGACGGACATGTTTTCTACACATACCTACCCGAGGAATTCCGCAAGACAGCCGCAGTCTCACGCCTCAGATTGAGGAAGGGCCTTCTCTATGAGTCGGAGAAATGGTTGACAACTGGCAAGAAGTTTACAACTTACCAAGAGCTTCAAGATGGAACGATCAAGGCCGTTTTTGCAGATGGGAGTAGTCATGTTTGTGATCTAATTGTCGGAGCTGACGGGATCACCTCACGGGTCCGACGTACTCTGCTACCCAGCATCCAAACTGTTCAGACAGATCTGGTCATCATCTACTTCAAAGTCCCCTACACTCGAGAGGTAGAAAGCATGATTCCGTACAAGACAGGGAGTCTGGTGAGCATCAAAGGCTCTTTCATGTGGGGTGATACTGATCAACTAGGTCCTGTACCCCAACGGCCAGGAAATCACCATCATGACATGGCAAAACCCCGAGCAGCCTTACGCCAAGGGTCTCGATCCCGAGCACATCGACCCAGAAACATCATACGTTATGGTAGGTTTCGGCAGCCGCCTTAAAGATTTCGCCGATCAGTCAAAATCACCGGCTGAAATGACACCCAATGAACTCAAAGCCGAGTGCATCTCCCGCGTCAACGCGCACCCAACCCACCCCTCCATCAAAGCACTAGTGGAGCTCGTCGTCACGGACTCCGCCTACGCCAACGTCTTCCGCATGGTAGACGTTAGTGAGCCGTGGAATTCGGACAATGTAACGCTAGTTGGTGATGCCACATTCAAGTACGTTCTCGAAACACTTCTGGAATCCTTCGGTATTAATCAGGTAGTATGGCGCCATTTCTAGGAAAAGGAGCTGCATGCGCTATGGAGGATGCAGTGGATCTTAGTAGGACCATCATACGCTTCCCAGGCACTCCCGCTGAGAAGAGGGGGAGTATGCTGAGGGAGTATGTGGATACGATGAGGGCTAGGAGGCTGAAGGAGCGCAAGAGGAGTGCGTTTGTTATGAATCTTTGCTTCTTTGGGACTACGCCCCTCAGAGCGTCTGCCAGGGATTATGGGATGGAGATTGCGAATGTGTGGTTGACTGCTAGTGGGCTCGTCCGGCTTGCTATTCTGGTATTGGTGATCGGGGCGTTTGTAGGGGGCATTTGGGGGCTGAACGGCGAGTTTCTGCAGAAACTGGCCGAGGGGCTCAGACAGGTGTTTGCAACCAAATGATCTTCGGAAAGCCTTTTCTTGCTTCGTAATATTTTGCTGTTAATTGTTATTACAGACCATGAAATTGCAAATTTCGTTTCATTATGGCGCAGCGTATTGAACTTCAGTATGAAGATCAGGGGAGTGGCGATAGAGTCTTCCCGCTCAGCTTCCTCGACACCTACTTCATGCCTGTTGATGTGGTCCTCGTCATTAACGGTACCTTGGACAAGGATCAACTGCGAACATCACTGTCAAAGACCCTGTCACTGTTCCCGCCTGTGTACGGGCGCTTCAGAAGACCCTCTGCAGCTACACGCGGAGAGCTCTCGCTGAACCTCTACCACCCCGTTCCCCTATACTTGCAGAAAGACCATCAAGGGGCATACTATCCTTCTATTTGGAAGAGGTTCATCTATCGCATCACGACTAAGAAAGTCCTGAATGGCCAAGCTCCTCTGTTACAGATCACCGTCACATACTTGCCTCACACCTCTCAGACAGTCTTGGGGGTGAGCTTCTGCCACGTCCTTGGAGATGCCTTGTCACTATACCATCTTCTAAAGGCATGGCATGATATACATACTCAAGAGACACTATCGATATCTCCCCACGTCGCTGAGAGGATCCGCTTCAAGTCTCCCTCGAAAGCGGTATTGTTGGAAGATATACCCCGACGTCTTCCCCGGCGATCACAGCTATTCTCCCCCACAGTGATGAGCAAGATCAAAGCCTATGCCCCACTGGTTCACACGATAGTGTTCAAGACCCTGGAATATGCAAGATTTGATGTCTCGGCAGAAGATCTCAGTATCCTTGTTCAGAAAGCACGGGCTCGGTTACACCCGGCGACATGCTCAACACAAGATGCATTCAAAGCCTACTTACTCAAGGCGCTGAACCGCTTTGTGTACAACGGGCTCATGCCGCATCCGCGTGTTACGCGAATTGTCACCATAGTAGATGCACGAAAGGCTAGAAACATGCCTAGGGAGTATTTCGGTAATTGTATCACAGCTGTTGATACGCCATATTTGCCAGCGTCTAAGAATCTGAGCGAAGTGGCATTTGCAGTTCGCGAAGGAGTCACTGGGCTGACGCCAGAGAAATTGGCCAAGGGGGATGAGTGGATTCAGTCTATTCAAGCTGTGAACGGGCTCATGGATTTGGCGCCCGCATTTGACCCTGATACTTTGTATGTAGATGATTGGACTAAGGTTTCTATGGAGGAGATAAATTTCGGACAGGAGCAGCATATGTTCTGCCAGCCCTTGGAAATGGAGGCTTTGCCTGTCCGAAATTGGTGCATGATTTACAAGGCAAAGGCGGCTAATGATGCAGGCGATGCGAGGAGACTGGGATACCAGGTACAAGTCTCGGTGCCAAAGGGACAGGTAGCTGAGCTCATGAAAGGCATAGTCACGGATCTGCAGGAGGGATTTGATGAGTACTTTTGGTAGGTAGCGGCAATCTAGGTACAGAATTGACGCGTCGCATTCTGGGAGAAATGGGAACGCCCCTTGTCAGCTGAAGTCATAATATGCAACGATAAATCGTAAGATAGGCTCTCGGATGGATATAGGTCTGGACTCTTGCGCCCATTCCTGTATAGATTAGGTTGGGGCTAACAGAGCTGAGGGATGGAGGATCGGGCTGTTCTTGGCATGTTACGATTCATTTCGGCCTCTTTTGGGGGCTGTGCGGGACTCGGCGAGAATATGATTGTGGGTGCTCATTTGGTGCCCAAGTGCATGAGTAGGAGTGTATATAAGGCTGAAGTGTTGGCAAAAAGGGTAGTGATGCTAAGACAGTAGCTCAAAGACTGAATACTCTGTACTCAAGATGTATCGACTTAGTTTGGCGTCTTTACTATCATTGGTCTTGCCCGTTGTGGCAGGGCCTGAATCATCATCAGGTTAGATCGTCCTCAACACCTCAGCCAAGGCTTACTGACATGTCACAGCAATTGACCCTTCGCAATGGCTCAATGCCCGTGGTAAAGCGGACTCACTGATCTCCAAGATGACGCCCAAGGAAAAGTCCTTGATGGTGACAGGCACCTTTGATGGAACATGCATCGAGTACATCGCGCCCATCAAACGTCTTGGCTTCGGCGGTCTTTGCATTCAAGACGGACCAATTGGGCTTCGTCTCGGAGATCTAGTCAGTGTCTTTCCATCTGGCGTTACTACTGCTGCGACGTGGGATAGGCAGTTGATGGCGCTGAGGGGAGATGCCATGGCAAAGGAATTCAAAGCGAAGGGTGCTCACGTCATTCTTGGGTAAGATCTGTCACCATCTTTTTGTATTGTGATCACTGACGGTAGATTAGGCCTGTTGCGGGAGCTCTGGGCAGAAGTCCATATGGCGGTCGCAACTGGGAGGGCTTCTCGCCAGATCCTTACCTAACCGGCATCGCCATGGATGAAACAATTCGAGCAATCCAAGATACCGGTGTCCAGGCTACAGCCAAGCATCTCGTTGGCAATGAACAAGAAACGCAGCGAAAACCCACACTGATCAACGGAAAGATGGTAGACGCAGTATCCTCCAACATTGACGATCGCACCCTACACGAGCTGTACATGTGGCCCTTTGCAGACGCCGTTCATGCTGGTGTAGCATCAGTCATGTGTGGCTACAACCGTGTCAATGAGACATATAGCTGCGAAAACAAGCATCTGATCCATAACCTCTTGAAGAAAGAGCTTGGCTTTGAAGGGTATGTCATGTCGGACTTTCTGGCCACCCCGCCTGGACTTAGTCCCGTCAAGGCAGGTCTGGATATGAACCAGCCCGGACCTGTCAATCTACTTCCCCTAGTTGAGACGTACTGGGGTGATAATCTTGTCAATTGTGTCAAGAACAAGACACTCTCTGAGTCGGATTTGGATGGAATGGTGCGACGGATCTTGACGCCTTACTTCTATCTTGGTCAGGATAAAGGCTACCCCTCTGTGGACCCATCATCTCAGCCCCTCGTTTACAACGGCTTCAAGTACCCTTATCCCGGCCCTTCTCCAGTTGGTCGCGATGTTCGCGGCAACCATTCAGCTCTCATCCGTGAGATCGCTGCTGCCGGAACAGTCTTGCTCAAGAATGAAGGCTCCATTCTTCCTCTCAACAAGTCCCTCACCAACATCGGTCTCTTTGGCAATGATGCTGCTGACCCCTCCGTTGGTACCCTCTTCAGCGACCACGATGGCATCGATATCGGTACTCTTATCTCTGGCGGCGGTTCAGGAAGCGGCCGACCAAGCTACGTTGTCAGTCCCTTGGATGCGTTCAAGTCTTATGCCAAGGACAACGACAAACGGCTTCAATACGTCACCAACAATACTGCTATTCTCAGTAGTATGCCTGGTTTGTACCCATGGCCAGAGGTCTGCATCGTCTTCCTCAAGTCTTTCGCCGCCGAGGGTTTTGATCGCAAGACTCTTGTCGCAGATGACAACTCAGTCCAAGTCGTCAATAGTATTGCATCACGCTGCCCTCGTCGCACCATCGTAGTCACTCACTCTGGAGGGCCGGACGTGATGCCATGGGCGACGAACCCCAACGTCAGTGCTATTGTCGCTGCGCATTACCCAGGCCAGGAATCAGGCAACTCCATCCTGGACGTCTTGACCGGAAATTTCAATCCCTCTGGCAAGCTCCCATATACCATTGCCAAGAAAGAGGAGGATTACAACGGAAAGATCATCAACATCACTGGCTCCGCAGCTGAAGACGCTTCAAATTGGCAAAGTCATTTTACCGAGGGACTGTTCATTGACTATCGACACTTCGACAACAAGGGCCTGGACCCTCTCTATGAGTTTGGCTACGGTCTCAGCTACACCACCTTTGGTATATCCTCCAAGCTCGTCGTCTCCTCAGCAAACAAGATCTCCGCCCGCGCATCCCTCTCCAACGCTACACTGGCACTAGGCGGTAACCCTCATCTCTGGGAAACAGTCGTCAAGTGTTCCATCGAGGTATCCAACACCGGCGGGGTTGCAGGCGCGACAGTCATGCAGCTGTATGCTTCTTTGCCCAAGAACCACATCCCAGCCAACAGCCCAGTACAGATGCTGCGTGGGTTCGAGAAGGTCCATCTTGAGCCTGGGGAGGCCAAGAAAGTGTCATTCAGCCTAAAGCGTCGGGATCTGAGTTATTGGGATGTTACTGCCCAGGACTGGGTGGCACCGAAGGGTGACATAAAGCTCAGTGTTGGCTTCAGCTCAAGGGATCTGAGGTCTTCGACGACCGTTCAATTGGTAAAGTAACGTTGTAGAGTACTTGAGATGGATTGATTATCATGGAATTGAGCTTTGTCTTTCTACTTGTTATGAACTGTATTAGTAAGAGGTTTTCTAGTAAGATTGTATTTCCTCTACTTTAAATAAGCGTATATAAAAACATTTCTCTCTTATTCTACGAGTAATGGTCTTTATAATAATTATAGATTGTAAATAAAGTTGAGAGTGCTATATGATAGGTCTCACATTCCAAACAATGTATGCACTTCTTGGTAAGTGCCAGAGTTGAGATTCATTTTCACAATGGTATGGGCTGGAGCAACAAGCTGGCTTCATCTTTCCTGGTGGTAAAACTTTCAAGATGAAGATCCCGACTTTCAGGACGGATGGTGACATCGAGGTTGGGCTAACGTATCTTGGTAACCAGAAATGAAATGAAACGGGGATATTATAATGAATATATATATACTCCTTGATCATAGTCATTGTACACATGTTCCTCTCTGATCCTAAACCCAGTCTCCGGAATACTAAATTACATTTCTATGGTTAAATGCCCGTTTATTAAAACCCTAAGGGGTTGATGGTATAGGCATCGGAGGTCATCTGTATCAATTCAAAATAAGATTCTCAAAACACTCTTCTCCAGAGCTGCGTAAATCAATGCGCGGTGATATCAATCCCCCCATTGCCAAGTCACACGCGGATCAAATTAATAAGGACTGGTAGTATTGAGCCTGCTTACGAAGCCATCGACTTGACCCTCACAGAAGCTGGAACGGGTCGAAGAGACCTTTTAGATGAACTCGGTTTTAAATACGATGAAGACATAAGCGAATTTCTATATAACCGTGAATAATCTATCTAGTCAGTGATATGAAAATGCTATAGAATGTTGGAGGATACCTTTGTGAACTTGGATTCTGGTTCATCTCTTGCAAAAGCATACCTAAAGGTATCCTTCAATTAAAGCTCAGAAAAACTAAGTTAGTTTAAAGCATGTTACCCTTTTTTATAACAGAAGGAAGACTATTTAACTATAGTACTCTGTAGGGAGCTTCGGGGAAGAACAGCGCCAAGACTGTGCTTTTATCTTGGAAGTACAAGGTAAATAGCAGGTCACATGGCGAGAAGCGGGTTTCTATCCTAAATAGGCATCTCATAAAGTCCCTAGTGGGTCGTGTGATATACCCGTGAGATATTTATAATAAGCTTAAGATGAATCTGGTAGTTAATCGGCATGATGGCTTAGCATACTCTTGGCCATTGAGTCGCTTAGAAAAACACGAAATATGACTGGTGGTCTTGAAGATTATCTATGCGCAGGCTATCTATGTGCCTGCGCATCTTGATCCTTGGCCCGATAATTCTGGGGAACCTTTGCCATAGTTACTAACTCCATCTAGGTATGATATACATGGCTCCAGGGGTTCAATGGCATCTCAATGGTCAGCGACGATGCAGGTTTGATTTCAATCGTCACTGTGAATATTCAGTGTAGTATTGGTGTCCATAGTATTGACTTGGCCCGAGCTAAGTCGAGGACCTTATCGCATATCTCGTGGATTGAATAAGCTGCCAAGGACAAAAGGTCCAGCTTCCAAGAACAAAAGATCTAGCTTCCACTCTGGGGAATGATCGTCGATAGTTTCCCAACTCTTGACTTTGACCTTGACACCAAGTATAAAGAGTCCCCGCGAGCCTTGTAGTGTTTACTCTGTAGTTTCTCACTCATTACCTCCTTGAAACCTCCCCAATCCGTCAATATGAAGGCCAGCATCACCTCCCTCCTCCTAGCCACCCTAGCGGGCTCTGCCGTCGCACAGACGCAGAGGATCAACACGGCCAAGTACAATGAAGACTACCTCCGTGCCAAGAGTGCGCCTCATGCCATTGGCATGGGAGAGCTTAAACAGCGCAAGATGGCTCTCCATGAGAGCGAAGCTGCGGCTGGTGTCTTCGACAAAGATCGCTACAAAGTGCTCAGCTCTGGCACGCCTTGTTCTGACGGCAAGGCGGAAGGTTACTCTTGTAACAAGATCGACCTCTTGGGCTTCTTGCGCCATCAGGATATGGGCAGCCGAACTCGCGTTGGTAACGATGTCTGGGGTATGTTCCAGAGCTACTTTTATTCTGCAATCCTTCGTTTTGCTAACTTATCCCCCCCTCAGGCTGGACACATGCCTCAAGTGGCCGCGAGTTTGCCCTTCTAGGACAGTCAGACGGCACGGCTTTTGCAGAAGTTCACCCCGACGGTAGCCTAACTT